AGAAATGCCTCCTATTTATTTCCATGGAAACTACAACTGATGCCATGAGCACAGCAGCACTGTTTGATAGAGCACATTTCTAACACATTAGTCTCATTCAATGGGTACAATTGTTAGTGAGGTCTCAAAGTTTCATCAGAGATGTTTGATGAAATTTTATTTTTTCTATGCCTCATCTTTGACAATAATTGTTCACAAGTGTGCATACTGCCAAAAAGCAATGATATGAATACAGTGTGGCTGTGAGCCAAGAGATATTTCTCTCTGCTAAGACAGTGCTTATAAAAATCGGGTAGAGACACAACCAGACTTTTGAGTTGAATATCTGATTGCAACTCTATACATTCTATTTAAAAACCTGCAGGTCATGTTTTTACCCTGATTGAAAATGGAATTAAAAATATACCAAAAAATGTAATCTTGAAACCTGTTCTCAAATTTCATATCATAATGGAAAGCACTGCTGCATATTTTTTTTTCCCATTCACAAGTCTGTGTTTAGCCAGTGTACCAAAACGCATACAGTTTCTTTACCTAACTTGAAGCAGCACTGCACTGCACCCTCCTCCTGGCTCTGGCTGCAGCTCAGCTAGGGTTAATACTGCAACAGTGCTTAGTCATTGCTCAGTGACAGCATTGCACAAGGGGCTGCCACGTTGTGAGCTGTGCCAGGCAACATCCAGCCAATGGGCTGCAGGTTGGACATGCCTGTTTTAATCAAAATCACTGAGTTTGGTTAAGAGAAGCTGGAAAATCTTATTTATGAGGATTCAGGGGTACTGGGTTCCATTTATTTATTTTTCCAATTAATAAGGTCTTGATGCTCATGTATATTTTATTCCTTAGTGCTCTGTTCTAAAAGAGGAAATGTAGAAGATGCCAACCACATGTATTTCAAATGAAAACTACTTTAGCTTTATCCAATTTCATAATCATCTTCTTGTACTTCACCAACCTCCCCCATCAAACAGCTTAGAGTATCCATCAAAACCATGGGCTGGATCCATAACAGAAAAGACACTAACATCTATTGGAAAGCATTAATTTTCACAGAAAATTGCCTTCTCCCTTTTACACCTGCAGACAGAGATGAAAGAAAAGAGCCCCGATACTCTGCACAGGTGAGTACCTTTGCAGCAGCATGGTTGATGAGAAATAAAAGAACCAAAATAAAAAGCAAGCAGCCTTCAGCTTACCTCCCCAGAGCAATTAAATACATTGAAAAATATAAACTCAGAAGTGCCGTCTTTATTGACAGCTTAAGGAACAAGCATTTTAATACAGTTACTGCCACCTGTTCAAACTGCAGCCCCCGTGCTGCTACTTCAGTCACTGGTGACATTACAGACTCTGTACACCTAAAACTAATTCTCAAACTGAAAGCAAATGGCAGCTATTACAGGCACTGACAATCTCCTGGGGTTGAAAATCTCCTGACAACACAGCCATGCACTGCGGGATCCTTTACCTCTGCTCTCCAAAGAGAACAAATCTGGGAAGGTGCCTGGCAGAGCCTATTTCATTACAGAGTAACTCTTTAGGGCCAATTTGTTTAATGATCTTCTGACAGTAACTCTAGGTTAGCCTACATGGTCATCAGAAAGGCAACCCCGACAATCTCCTTTTCCCTACAGTAGGAGAGGTACAGATTCTAAGCATAACTAATGTCTTAAAACAAGATTTGTATGCCACTAGTGGATTCAGCATTGGGGATGGAAGGAGCTGAACAGCACTCTAATTTCCATGCTGCTTTCACATAGGCTTTACTTGTGCAGCAGCTGGACATCCATAACAAATATAGTCTTCTCATTTTTCTCAACTTTCTGAACCTAATCAAAACATTCCAAATCCAGTGACATTGACAAGTTTTTACCCTGGACTTTCAGATAGCTTCCTGTGTGCCATCAGCTCCAAGCTCTAGCACCAAACTCAGCAACAGCTCTCACTCTGCTTTCACAAAGGAACACCAGAAGGATGAGACACAGTAGGAACTGATTTCAAAAGATCACTATTGTGCTTGCACCCAAAAATACAATCCTTCCATACTTACGCTTTCCCACCATCTCACATACACATCATTACAGTAGCAGCAATTATACTGTTTTAAGGATCACCCGTAAAGGCACTGAAGGCTTCAGGTAGCTTTCCCTAACCCTGCCAGGTCTGAAGAAACAGAAGTCAGCTTTGAGTTGAAGCCAAAAGGCAATCAAGTACCAAATGGCAAAGACATTTAACAAATCAGATTGAGGTGGGTGGTAAGGCAGTGAAAAAACACAAGTAGATCTAACTATCTGTTTACAACTCAAAAGTTCATTGCCCAATGCTTTCTTATTATCTGCAGCTTTTAGAGGCCAGGGGCTACATTCCAGTATCAAAGCAAATCCTGTAGCAAAAGTTTTGGGAGTCTGGATATTTCTCCCAATGCAAATAGTTTCTCAAAGCAATCTCGTGTACAGGCTGAGTTTAAAAGCATCACATTCTCATATCACTCTTCAAGTACAGTCTATAGTGTTCCAGTTGCCAAAAAGGAGTAATGCTCCTATGCAAATTTACACACATTTGAAAGTCTATAAAGTTGCAACTTCCTTGAAGAAATTCAGTAGTAATCCAAGCAGTGAATTTTCTTCATTTTTTTCTTTCTCTTAAAAAATAAACAAACAAGAGACAGGGAGCAGAAACAAACACAGCACAGAACTCTTCCTCTAGACAGATACTCTTAACCTAACTTCTTGTTATAGCTAATTCCATAATAAAGAGTGCATCTCTGCAGGATGTGGGACAGGTGATGCAATTGTATTTTCCTTCCCTGTGACTTTCAATTAAGTCTGCCAAAGCATCAATTCTCATTAGGTATCCTGAACTTTGCCAAGAGCCAATGAAACCACCACAGCCTAAAATGGTGACATTTACACATGAAGTCTACAGTCTTTAACACTGGACTCTGTACAACACATTAAGCTCCAGCTTTCCTGACTCATAAGGAAGCTTCAGGGTTTTGGTAGATCTCAGAATTACCCCTCACTGACTTGCCCTTCTATAGGCCAAGCAGACCATTTTCACATCTTCTGACCTTACTGTAGTGTCATCCAGAAATGCTGGTGCAAAGATGAAAAAGATGTGGATTCATTCTGTGAGACCAAAGATGCAGGAGGTTAAAATATAAAGCAAACTACAACACCAACATGCACAAAGGTCTCTAATTAACTGAGCTGAGACATCACAGCTGAGTCAGAACCCCCCCTCTTGTTTAATTTAAACTTCCACTATTATCTGCCCTCAAGTCAAGCTTTCAAAAACTATTCCCATCACGCTATTCAGGAGTTGTTATAAACAAGCACAAATGCGTAGCCAAACGGCATTTAGGTATGGATCTGTGCTGGGAGTAGCCTAGAGGACACTCATAAATGCATGAGGCCTGCTTAAGGCTACCTAGCAGAGATATCTATACACAGTTATCTCCTCATGTAACACCATACCTTATTCCATAATCTTATTTACCTACTGCTGTCTGTTACTGTAAAGAAAATCAACCACGATTCTATGCAGCTCTCACGTCCATGGATAGAATTCTGTACAAGACAGGCTTTTTGCATTGTCTTCCTTCCATGTAGTATTCAAGAAGGCAGACAGCAATAAAAAAAATATATGATGGTCTTCCAGAACACCACTTGCTATTCGTAAAAAAAAAAACAAAAAAAAAAAGACATTGGACATGAAGAGTAATCTGTCCCAAAACCCATTATGCCAAGAAACAAAAGTACGCTGTGGTAAGCCAAGAAATAATAACAGATGAACAAATAAATGTTAGATAAGTAAATCAAAAGACTGAAATGAAGACAATCATTTCATGCCTAAATGAAATTAAAACTGCTTTAAAAGCACATAATTGCTTTTAGGGTCCAAACAAAAGGATTTAATAAGCAAGCTTGCTTGAGATGAAGTTTTTACTGTCAATAATTAATGCAGTTGCAAAAAAGGGTTGCAGCTTTCTTCTAAATCAGTGCCTTACAGTTACTTAAGTGAATAGTAAAGCTTTTCCAGATGTTCCAGTGAGCCCTTACTCCCACAATAGTCCCATAACTTTTTTTTCTGTCCACCTAAATGGAACAAGGACTTTAGAAACAAATATCAGCTGTCACTTTGTCCATTCAAGTCACAATTTCAAAACCCATGTGCTGGACAGATATTCTTACTGAAGGCAAAAAAACATTTCGATACTTATTCCAGCACTAGAATAGCACTGACTGAAAGTAATGGTTTGTTTTCCTCATTCCTATAGACTATTTCAAAGGTCCCAATTTTAAGGTTATTTTCGTTTCCTCATCGATCATTAAGTTAGCAATGGCTGGTCTTCAACACGTGAGGTCATACCGCAGCGGACGAGATTCTGCAGCAGAGAGATTCTAGGTTTGTGGCTTTTTTAGTCCTTGAAATCCCAGCAATCTGCCTTACTGCAGCCTTCACAACTTCTACAGCAAACAAGTGAAATGTCGGACAGAAACACTCCTCAGAAAATAAACAGCATCCAGTTCTGCGCATGCAAAAAGGAGCTTTCACATTTCTCAGAAGTTTCCAAGTGAAGCAGTGGGTGGAAATCAAAATAAACCGTACATTGCTTATATGAAAGGAAATTAAAAAGCCTCTGACATATCTCTCTGTTCAGGTTTCCAGGTACGCTGAGTGAAGCGGTTCACAACAGAACAGACTGTACACTCAGCTATCACACTTAAACGCAATCACAGTCAAACATAACATCAGCAAGTGTCTAAACTACAGAAGTGCATTTAATACTCCCCAGTCAGCAGTCAACAACTTCCATATTAGTTCATAATTAACAACGTATTGTTTCAGCTTAACGCTTTGTTTTCCTTTTCTGATTTTATTGCAGTTTGCTGTGCTTTCAAAATTAAGGGCTTTCTTTAAACGCCTTTTGCAATGTTATTCTTGGGCAGTAAGCAGACAGCATTTTTAAAGAAATAAAACAGAGTGTATTTTCTTACCTGTTGCAGTCCACATGGAGAAGAAGGTGGGATGCACTAAGAGACACTGCAATCCTGTGCCACTGTCCATCTGCCAGGCGATATGGGAACACCTCTGTTCTTGACTTCCCATTAAACCTGTAGTGATATCTAATCTCATCCCGTAAGCCACTGCTCTCCAGTTCAAAATAGCTGCATTTAAAACATGAAGAAGAATCAGTTTCGTTTTTGGTCTATTCATTGCTTCCGTCACTTTCTTCTTAACTCACAGAATTCCTTAAGCAAACACAACATGGAAGGTCACCATTTGAGGATGTTACTCATCATAAATCATTTTCTAAAAAGAGGTAGAGACGTTACAAAAATAGCAATGCCATTGACACAAAAACAGCTCACATTCAAAACCATTTGATTGTCCTAGAAACTGAAGTCCTCTTGTTATCCATAGAATAGGCTCTAGAACAAGAAAATGATCCTTATTCTACTCACCAGGATATTTTCTATAAATGCACGTTTCGTAGGCAATGCCAAAATAAAGGACCAGGTGCATCATCACCAACGAACAAACAATAAGCCGTTAAGATAAGAAAGCTCCAGGTAATCACTGAATTTGTATTCACTATTTGCAAATCTAGTTTAAAAATTGTTTACTTTCAGGACTCCCCTACATGCAATTATGCTTTATTCATTTTCTCAGTTTTATTTTTACAGCTGTAACTGTTCAGCTTTACAAGGGAACAAAGCCTCCTGGCTAGATTACGTGTCTCAACATCTGGCATAAGCAATCACAGCTTTCACAGAGTTGTCACAAGAGAATAGTCTTTGGGCAGTGCTGCCTTGTCAGCAAAGTAAAGCTACTAATTGACGTCACACTGGCAGGAAGAGCCAGATCATCTTCTAGGGTGAATTTAGCCCTTACCACTGGCAACGCATTGGCAGCATAAGTTATTAAACCCCGTCTTAGACCTCAGATCACATGGAGTATTTACAGCACATGAAATCAAGTTACTCTCTTTCTCTTGTAAAATGATGGCCCACTTATAGAATGGTGACACAGGCCTCTTTTTAAAGTAAAAACTCCATTTAAGAACAGATGTTAGGTTTTATAGCTAGTCCTTACGCCAGCCGGTCTCTGCAGTGTCACATTCTCCCAACTGGGCAATACCAATGTCAACACTGCAGTGGAAAGATGGATGCTGATTTGGAGTATTAAAACAGAACAAAACAACCAACCGATCAGACAATAATAAAGTTTGTTTCCATAAAGCAAAATGAAAAATCCAAGATAAAAGAATAAATACATAGCTACTAATTTTCATTTTCACTCAAGCCTTTTACCTAGCTCGACTGTGCACAGACCTCATCAGCTGGTGTGGACAAGTATGGACAAGGTGTATGTAAGAGTTACTCTTACCAATGAAGCAGAGGCAACTCAGAACCAAGTTCCTCCCAAAAAACTCAATTTTCCAGATTTTATGTTATAAGATAAAACAAGAGACAGAGACAGGCAGCAGATCACAATAGATTGAGAAGGGGAACAGCAAGACAATGCTTGACAAAAATAAACTCCATCCCTCTTTCATACTGACAATGCCTTGCAGTTCAGACAGATAAGATTTCTTCCACATACAACACACACATTATCAGGTCACCTGAAACAAATAAACAAGGGCAAAGCAGATAGAGGCAAAACTAAAATTAAATGAAAGCAGAAATACGTATGAATAAAAGACACAGTACAGAGAGGAAAAAAATAAGAAGGGCTGGTGTTGTAAAGGAACTGCCTGGTTTTATACATATAAAACCCGGAGGAGGGCAAAGGAACAGGGCTTCTCAAACAGAAGAGCAGAATCTTGATTAACTACCATCACCATCCCCTTTAAATACCTTAACTGTCATAAGAAATCTGGGGAGGAAGTTTTTATTATTTTAATTATTGGTAAAAACAGTCAACATACAGAAGACATTGGAAAGTACTAGAGCAAGTACCATCAGTGAACTGGAAGGTTTCATAATTGCCATCTTTTGTCAAAGCTCAATAGGAAGTCATTAAAGAAACTTTCACTCTTGTTCAGATAAGGAGCAGAGAAGAAGAAAAATATATCAAAAAAATACCAAGGAAAGGAAAGAAGAGTAACGCATCTTTCTCAAGCACAAAGTATTTATATAAATATATTTACATGGTTGATCATAGAAGAGTCTGAGAGCAAGGCCAACTGCATCCCAGGCTGCATCAGAAGAGGGGTGGCAGCAAGGAGAAAGGTGACTGTCCCCCTCTACTGTCCTTGCAAGGCCTCATCTGCAACATTGTGTCCAGGAAGGATGTAAAGCTTACAGGAAGGATGTAAAGCTGCTGGAATTGGTCCAGAGGAGGGTCACAAAGATGATCAAAGTGCTGGTGTACCTCTCCTATGAAGAAGGGTTGAGGAAAGTTGGACTTGCTTAGCTTGCAGAAGACAAGGCTCTGGGGAGCCCTCATTGCATTTCTCATTTCAGTACTTACAAAGGAGCTTACAAGCAGGAGAGGGACCTTTTCCACAGTCTGATAGTGACAGGACAAGGGGAAAGGCTTTGAACTAAAAGAGGGGAAATTTAGATTTCGGGAAGAAATTCTTTACTCAGAAGATGGTGAGAGAACAGAACAGGCTGTCTGAAGAAACTGTAGAAGCCCATCCCTGCAAGCATTCAAGATCAAGTTGAATGGGGCCGGGGAAGCCTGATTTAGAGGTTGGCAGCCCTGCTCATAGCAGAGGGTTGGAGCTGAATGATTTTCAAGGCCCGTTCCAGCCTAAGCCACACATGACTGTAGGACAAGCTACTGCTGTGGGAAGCACATCACTTCCTGCAGTCAATCTTCACAACGCCACGTAGCTATGGAGCTAATCACTTATTACACAATGTTTTGTTTGGTATTGAAAAATGCAACTTTCCAGCTCCAGGAATGGCAGTCAGATATCGCACTTACATCTATGCCATATTATTTGAACAGCATAGGGAATTGCAAAGCAACACAGCTTCCATCTGATAAGCTTTAGCTTCAACTGTTACTTCTGAACTAAAAACAGCTGGTCGTCTGTTCCCTGACTTATTTTATAAAAAGCAGAAGTGATTTGTTAAAACTTACTGCAATAGACAATGCTAACTATATATGTATACCTGCTGCATTGCCAAGTGCCACAGGACTGTCCACAGGACATTTTACCTCTTCTGTTACTGGAAAAGAGGATGACAGCAGCCAAATTCTGCACCTACTTTTCACCACCCTTCAACAAGTGCAAATCAGAAGCCGTTACACTCAAACATCAGCAAACAGCAGTCAACAGAAACCCAACACTGGGAAAATGGTTGGGTTAAGCCCAACTGGTTAAGCCCAGCTCATATCTCTGGAATTGAAATACAGCACAGCAGTTTAAACCATCACATCTGCATGGATTTTTAAGTTTTTCCAAGATGCACAATTGAGAGGTCTTGTCTCAATAAGCACACAGACAGAGCTATGTTCACTGATCAGAATGCACAGTTGTCTCCTCTCAACCAGAATGCAGTTCATTTGCTACCAAGAAAGCAACTTGCAGACATCTTTTCTTTCCTCCTCCAACTAGACTATAGAGGAAAGCTTCTTCAAAAGCAACTCACCTTAGAGTTCACATGCCACTGCACAAGTTTTCATCTACTGTAAATTTACAGGTAAACGAGGGGAGAAAATTAACAGAAGCTTCCATGCAAGAGGAAAGAAAATCAACTGGTCCAACACACATCTTTTTATACATTCTTCCCAACATTTTAAGGAAGAGGAGGAAACACAGGAACAGAACAAGTCAAGGTTCCTTAAAGTATTACAGCACCTGGTAAAAACGAGCTGGCTTTGCACACTCATACTGCCTGAATAAATGCATCAACAGCAAGTGTGAACTTTCAATCTTGTCATGAGATCCATATCAGTAGCCCAAGGGAGATTGCTGAGTATTACAACCAGCTCTGCTGCTGCGTAACAGCTGCATGAAGTCTGACTGGAATGGGTCTCAGATACATTTGTCAGCTCATTGCTACAGTTAGCCCCCTGCTGCCCTCCTCATCGCTTTTTCCCAGACATGTCAGAGACACCTATTTGTCAACTTGTTAGCACAAAATGATGCTTTCTTGTTTTATTTCCCAATGAGTGGCGTTGTTTGGTTTTTTTTTGTCTTTTAAAACAGACAAGATCATTTTGACAGATTAAGTTCTCAGAACAAGTGTATTAAGAAAGCACGCTGTTCGCAGAACATAAATACAAAGCATTATATGACCTCGGTTGAATATTCCACTGCTAGAATTTCCATATTTGCTAAGCATACAAGCTACCACTGACTTCTTTTACCCAGATACAGAATTCAAATGTTTTTGGTTTTTTTTTACATGTGACAGCAGTCCCTCTCATTCAAATCTCAATTTATAAAAGAGAGAAAAGCAGAAAAAAAAAAAAAAAGTGTTTCTAAATTTAGATTTTTTTTCTCTGCACAAAGAACTTGGGTGATTTTAAGGTCATGGAATGTGCTTTACAGATGGATTACAATATTCCACAATCAACATAAGATGCTTTACAACTCTTTTTGACAACTTTTGCAACCCATATCTACCTCCCATAAGGGTACAGTTATGAGAGAATAATGACCAGTTTACTGATGTTTACTCCTTTTTGTCTCATTTTTATCACATCATAGCAAAGATTTACCTGCATATCTGACAGTTCATTTCACTTCCATATAGGAAGAAAAAGGTTCAGGTTCCTGAAAGCATACTGTAAGTACACGAGCCACAACCTCTGGAGCAGCTCTAGGATAAATGTTCTTATGAACATCTTCAGTGTGTGTACAGTACTTTCTGTTCTCATCTTGATGATGCTAACATCTATTATAAGGCACTAAAACACTGCACAGTGAAGACAGGGCACCACCTGGCAAGGACAGCCCTGATTAAGGGCTTTGATAAGAGCTCCAAAAACTAAGGCATAACTACATTTTGCACTTCATTCAAGAAATCATCCCCTTTATCCCTTTATCACATCCAAACATAAATAAAGCAGAGTAACTACTTTGACTGTACAACTTCAGATCCCGGATCAAGCGCCAAAGTCCCACAGCCTCTTTCAACAAGCAGCATCAGCACTTACAGCAGATGTTTGTAGAGCTACTGAACAGATGTCCCAGGACAAG